GTCCCCTCTTCTTCATGTCTCTTCTACATCAACATGTGTCCCTCTTCTCATGTCTCTTCTACATCAACATGTGTCCCCTCTTCTTCATGTCTCTTCTACATCACATGTGTCCCCTCTTCTTCATGTCTCTTCTACATCAACATGTGTCCCCTCTTCTTCATGTCTCTTCTACATCAACATGTGTCCCCTCTTCTTCATGTCTCTTCTACATCAACATGTGTCCCCTCTTCTTCATGTCTCTTCTACATCAACATGTGTCCCCTCTTCTTCATGTCTCTTCTACATCAACATGTGTCCCCTCTTCTTCATGTCTCTTCTACATCAACATGTGTCCCCCTTCTTCTCATGTCTCTTCTACATCAACATGTGTCCCCTCTTCTTCATGTCTCTTCTACATCAACATGTGTCCCCTCTTCTTCATGTCTCTTCTCCATCAAACATGTGTCCCCCTCTTCTTCATGTCTCTTCTACATCAACATGTGTCCCCTCTGTGGAAAGAGACTCTGAAAGTTTCAGGAACAAAGATTCTCTCTCTTTTTGATCCATTTCTATAAAAACCTGTCTGAAAATGAGCTGATCAGATTTTGGCCACTTGATGTCATAACGATGTGTTGTCTTGTGTAACCATTAGCCAATCAGCAACCAAGGTAACCCCCCTCCCCCTGCCCCCCCACCTTATCACCTGAATGTCCTCATAGAGCACCATTAGGTGCTTTCACACCGGAGTACTTTTCCCAGTATAGTTCCGAAAATGTGCGTTCACACCAAAACAATCTGGAACTAGAACTTAGTTCATGAGAACCTTTCCACCCCCTTTTCAGTCCCTGCTAGAGAGGTGGATCTTTCCAGGGGAGAAAAAGGTTCACATGTCTGATTGGCTGGGCGGTTTGCAAACCACGGCCCGTAAAACTCAGAAATGTTTTGTGAATCCGCCATTTTATTTTCCTCGCATTAGCATTATTAGCATTAGCCCAGCGCACAAACGCAGAGAGACTAACTTATGGCGACACAAAAGAAAACATGGGAGCGGTGGAGATGAGGAGGTGTCGGCGACCCAACTCCGGGGACTTCCGGCCGGGGACTCCAGGTGGCAGTATACGCCGTGAAGTTGTTTGCAGCCTGCCAGTAAACCCAACGCAGAAGAAGAAGAAGTGACGTCAGCGGCTTCATTTCAGTCTCCCTCAGGGGACTTATTCCGGTGTGAACGCGATCGGCTCTTAGTTCATGAGAACTAAAGAGTTCATCAGAACTAAGTATGGAAAAGTACTCCGGTGTGAAAGCGCCTATTGTGTTCTTTGTAACCAAATGTCTCTCAGAGGGGCGTGGGGAGGGGCTCCTTAATTTCATCTAAAGTAACAGACAGAGGCCGTTTCTCAATCTCGAGGATGCTGGCTTGGTAGTCGCGTACTTCCAAGTCACTCCCTTCAGAAATGAAGCAAGTATGCTTCCAAGCCACGGCTTCGGAAAACGAAGAAGAAATGACAGGGGACCTTTAAGGAAGAAGCATGCATAACATAGACTCTTATTGATTTTTAAAAAGTCTTAATTTTTGCAAGGTGGAGACGCTGAGGGCCGCCATCAAGTACATCCAGCAGCTGCAGGGCCTGGTGCAGTGCGGGGGGGGAGCACTTCCTGTGGGACCAGGCACAAACAACTGAAGAAGAACCGCCGTCTCATTAGAGCAGAAGAAGAAGAACTCCAGCTGGACTGTGGACCTGGAGAGGAAGTGAAAGTAAACACTTCCTGCACTCTGACTGAGGAACAGTTTGACTCCGACACACAAACTCTGATTTCTTTAAAGTGCTTTTAATGAAAGATTTAAAAAAATCCACATCTGAAAACCATGGAAACCATAGATATAGATCCCCCCTTGGACTCCTTTGTTTACTTCTGTAACATAGTGACATCCAGAGTTGGGTGTAACGCGTTACAAAGTAACTGTTACTGTAATAATATTACTTTTGTCGGTAACGGAGTAGTGTAACGCGCTACTTTTATAATTCAGTAATCACTACAGTTACTAACATTGCCCCGACACGCGTTACTTCGTTACTTACTAAAATCAGCCATAATCAAACTGACAGACAAGAGGGGTTTCCGCCGCAGGTTTATATGTACGTAATCTGCGCGTCCACATCTCCACGTGCAGTGCTGCATAAACATGGCTGAGTCAGCGATAACTCTCGAGGGGTGGAGGTATGCCCATTACTTTGAGTTCGTCCGAAGAATAGACAGGAATGTGACGGTGAGGTGCAAACTGTGTCCAGGCCAGCAGCTGTTATCCACTGCTGGAAACACCACGTAGTCAAACCTCAACACACACCTGCAAAGAACACATGCTAACGTGAAGCTACCGCACAGCTATGTGTTGTTTGTTTATATCACGCAGTCTGTTCTTCTTCTCTGTCTTCCGGTTGTTGCCTGTTTTGAATGACAAATACACACTACCGCCGCCTGCTGGTAAGGAGAGTTATTGCCACTCACGCATGCGCAGTTCGTACGTGCTCGGCGAGTAAAGTAACGAGTTACTTTATGTAGAGAGTAACGAAGTAGTGTAATATATTACATTTTTTTTAGTAACGACCCCATCTCTGGTGACATCACTGTGGAACACTTGCGCTCCAACACATTGTATGTGAAAGGCTAAGGGGCGGGACATCTCTAAGCGTTTGACCAATCACAACAGGTCTGGCCAGCTGTGGGCTCTGGTTTCAGACAGAGGTGCTGCAATTATTAATTTTTCTGAAAATCTCCAAATGTAGACTTTATTCTGAAAAACTCAGAATTATGACTTTTCTAAATTCTGACCTTTTTTCTTAAAATAAAAAGAATCAGAATTTTTCACATTTCTGTGAATTTTTCTCAAAATTCTGACTTTTTAAAAAAAATCTAAATGTTTTGACTTTTTATCTCAAGTTCTCATTTTTTTCCTCTAAATCGAGATTTTTTTTTGAAATTCTCCACCTGCCAGCTAACCAATCAGAGCAGCTCTGGTTTCAGACAGAGGGTGAAAAGAGGCGCTGCAGCACAGGCAGTAATATTACAGCTAGCAGGGAAAGTCTGCAAAGTAAGCTGAAAGTATCAAAAGTACTTATTCTGCAGTAATATAGCCTCCTTATGGGATATCGCTTTTAATATATTTGACATTATGAGATTAACATTAGGCATATTTCAACTATTGCTTTACCTGACAGTTATTGATCTTTATAGATGCATCTGTAGTAAAAACACATGGTTCTCCTTCTATATGCATTGTAGTAAAAGACTAACGTAGAATATTAGGAATAAGTGTGTTTGAGTACTGCAGTAAATATACTCGGTTACTTTCCACTAGTTGAAACGGTGTGTAGATGAAGGTATGCGTTAGTGCCGTGTAGCTCCAACAGATCTACAGGTGAGAGTATAGAATGACGTGTTTCTAAAGCTGATGCTGAGAGAGACACAGAGACAGAGATCATTAAATATCGATTTCATATTTAATATTCATTGTGAGGAAAACGATGAAGCAGAACTTGTTAAACATTAGAAAAATAAAAAGCTTCTTTTTTTTACCTGATGAAAATGTGGATTATTTATTCTGCTTTACTTTATTCTCTCTTTATCTTCAATTATTCACAAGGCCCTGTAAATAATGATTCAAAAAGCTGTACCGAGTGTTTGAGTGTCTGTCAAGGGTTTGTAAATAAAGATTTGATGATTCAATGTTTTATTTTATAATGAAATATATATATATTTTATGAATATAAGTGAAAAACGCCCCAGAGACGAAACACTAACAGATTTGAAACATGTTGTCAATTTTGTAAATAATAAAATCCATCATTTTTAAACAGGAACACATTTTGATCAGCTGCAGATTAATGATGACGTTCAGATATCGGAGTAGCAGTGGCCCTCAGGCGGATCCCTGTGGAACCACGATATCACTTGTAAATAGATAGAACTTAAGATCTACAACTACGACAGGTGCAAACGCGCTACGACTGTTGTTGGAAACTAAAATGTTTGATGGTGTTATTTTAACAAAGTGATCACATGACTCCTGATGTCACTGCAGACCTGCTGTAAGCTAGCTAGCTAACATAGCTAACCTAGTGATTTCAGATAGACTGACAAACACTTCCAGTTATGAGACGACTGACTCTGAGACAGAGACCGTTTCTTTATTATCCCCCCGAAAAAAACTAAACTTTTTTTTCTTCTTCTTTTAGTCGACAAAATATAAACATTTATTTAGTAGCTAACTTTTTTTTCTAGTCAACTTTTTTTTGTGAATTTCTTTTGGTACATTTTTTTTGTTTAACCAGGGTCAGTTGACCAGGGGTTACATAGCTGCATCATATCAGACTGAGTCATGTGACCGTTTAGTATTTCAACTTTAAACGCCAAAGCTTTGAACTCGGTGCAGCTCTGCAGGTTTCAGGTCTTTACGAATAAATTGACATATTGATAATTGTATCCTGCATGAGGACGCTTTCTTTTCCTAGAGCTGTCGATTCTAATCATTGATATGAAAAACTAAATGAAGAATCGTTCCTCCTGTTCAGGATCTTATTCAGTTTTACAAACACCACTCACTCGTCATTTATCGTGCAAAAATGCCACGGAAAAACAATCTTTAAATGTGAAAATGTGCTGCTTTCATTTGTTTTCTGGAGATTTCAGTTGAATAGGAACTCAGAGCGACTGTTTTAAAATAAAAAATAGCATTATATATTCACTTAAGACTCAAAGTGTGATATCCTTGACGTCCTATGAATACATACAAATGTAAAATCAGTGTTTAAAATAATTAAATATCGGAAATCATCAGAATTTAAATGAATGTATTAAAGTCTGAATAAATCTTCTGTTTGGCACACACACACACACACACACACACACACACACACACACACACACACACACACACACACACACACACACACACACACACACACACACACACACACACACACACACACACACACACACACACACACACACACACAACACACACACACACACACACACACACACACACACACACACACACACACACACACACACACACACACACACACACACACACACACACACACACACACACAGTCTTTGGCTTTAGAAAGAGGAGTAAAAGCAGCAGAATGAAGAACACTAACCCCTAATAATCCCCAAAGGGTCTGACCTCAGAGGATCCACATTTCAAACTCATTTAAAGTAAACCAAAATATTTAAAGAAAGGATTAAATCCAGATTTTCTAAAATGTATGAATGATTAAATGTGAAATTATTTGAAAGATAAATGGAGATAAGAATCTTCTCTAGAGTTGGTTTGAGACGTAGCAGCAGCGGCACTGAAGCAGAAGAGCAGGAAGTCTCAGAGTGTCTCGCTCTCAAGAGCAGCTTCTCGTGTCCTCACAACAAACACCAGCTGGCCCTCAGGAGTCCAGGAGAGAGGACAGAGTGGACAGAGGGTCTCCTGGACCTCAGGAGTCCAGAGTGGACAGAGGGTCTCCTGGACCTCAGGAGTCCAGAGTGGACAGAGGGTCTCCTGGACCTCAGGAGTCCAGAGTGGACAGAGGGTCTCCTGGACCTCAGGAGTCAGAGAGAGGACAGAGTGGACAGAGGGTCTCCTGGACCTCAGGAGTCCAGGAGAGAGGACAGAGTGGACAGAGGGTCTCCTGGACCTCAGGAGTCCAGGAGAGAGAGGACAGAGTCTGATGGACCTCAAGATCCCATCCTTCAGGCGTCTCAATGTCCTTCAGGAAGTCCCGATGACCTTTAGGAGGTTCTGCTGGCCTTGAGAACGACCCGGTGAGCCTCATGACGTCTCAATGCCCTATTAATACCTCGATGACCTTCAGAACGTCTCGATGACCCTCAGGAAGTCCCGATGACCCTCAGTAAGTCCCGATGACCTTTAGGACGTCTCGATGACCCTCAGTAAGTCCCGATGACCTTTAGGACGTCCGGATGAACTTGAGAACGTCCCGATGAACATAACCAGGACAGAGAGGACAGAGTCTGGTGGACCTCAATATCTCAATGTCCTACAAACGTCTCGTTGACCATAAGGATGTCCAAATGACCTTCAGGAAGTCTCAATGTCCTTCAAACGTCCCTATGACCCTCAGAGCGTCCCGTATGACCTTCAGGACGTCCTGCTGTCCCTCAGTTGCCCTCAGTTGTCCCCAGGCGTAGAGACACCAGGTGACGGTGTGTTGGCTGCAGACAGTAGTCGATGCTGAGCTGAACGTCCTGCACGCGGCGCAGGAAGCGAGATCGATCCCGGGCGAACTGCTCCCAGGGACCCCGTCTGTCCTCCGTCTCCTCCCCCCCGCTCGCAAAGAACTCCTCCACTTCCTCACAGAAACGCACCTGACGAGAGAGAGGAGGAGGAAACAGGTTCAATCCAATCCAACTGTATTCATACAGCACATTTAAAAACAACAGAGTTGATCAAAGACATCTCTATAAATATATAAAGTCCAGCATAAACACATTTAGTGAAAACTAACCGCAGCATCAGCGTCTAGTTTATCTCTGAAATACAGAGGTGGGCAGTTACCAAGTACCTCAAAATTGTACTTCAGCATTTGCATTGAATGCTGCTTTATACTTCTATTCCAACACATTTATTTAACAGCTTTTAACCAAATGCATCTCTAAGAATGAAACGTGTGGATTCTTTAAGTCACTAAAGAGTCAAATGATTTAAATGTTTTACTAAACGTCCATCAGATCTTTGTTTGTCCACAGCACTGAAATGTGACTATCATATCTACAAATGTCACATATATAAATATAATTACTAGGGATGCACGATATTGGTTTTTTGAAACCGATACCGATAACTTCCTGCTTCTCAAGACCGATACCGATAACCGATAATAATATAATATATATATTAAATGTACCTGTAGTTTTTGCACACCTGGTGGTAAAACAAAGACTAGTAGTGAGCAAATGACAAGAGCGTTACTACTATGAACAAAACTAAGCCAAGAACAGTTTTGACTCTTCAAAGTGACCATATTTATTTTCCCAAATAAAGTTCTTGCCTTTTTCAAAAGCCTCGTGGATAGGTAAAAGCCCCGGTGCCTTTGCAGCTGGCTTTGGATTCGCCGCTAGTTTAGCAGCGCAGGCGTCTTCGTGCGCTTTTAACACACCATCGTAGCGATGGCGATGTTTCAGGTGACTAATCAGGTTGGAAGTATTATAGCTCGTTGCCTTTTCCCTCCTCGTGGAACTTCTGCATTTGTTAATACAAATAGCAAGCGAACTATCTAACTCTGAAACTTTGAAATAGTCCCATACTACCGGCGACATGTTTGTTTACTGTCCTGGCTTCACGGCCGCAAACCAATTACGTCACAGCCAGGCATGAGTTAGGGAGCGCTGGATTTGTGAAGAACTCCCCTCTTCCTAAACCACTAATACCACAGTACTGGCAAAACGGGAGGAGCCGAGTGAAAAACAAGCGCCCCTCATCCCAATCCACCCACCGCAGTATTTTTTTCTTTTTTTTTTACCCAAAAAATATATTGTATATTATCGGGGCTATTAATACTTTTATCGGGTTTATGTCATAATTCCTAATATAATATTTATCGTGCACCACTAATAATTACACATAAGGCCCCTTTTTATACTTCAAGTACAGGAAGCTGGTGCTTTTACTCGAGGGAAGCATCTGAGTAGGGATGGGCACCGCGCCCCGTTATCAAACGGGCCCCGGGCTGAATTATTAAAGACCGTGGTACCGACGATATCGGTCTTTTTATCGGTACTGGAGACATGTACAAAATATATGTCATGTATTATTGCTACACAAACATTATATTGCAGTTTTAGTGTCGCCAACTCCGTCTCTAATACTCCCTCGTCTGTGTGCGAGGGGGCGGGGCAGTTTACACACACGCAGCTGCACCATGCAGCCACACACACACGGAGGAGATGGCGGAGAGAACGCGCTCCGAGGTGGTTAAACTTTACCCGTCTCGATGCTCGTTGTCTAAAGTGCAATAAGAGTTTAGCATGTGAGGGCGGCAACACGAGCAGTGTGTCTAAACATTTATCAAAAGTGCTCCACATCCAGACGGAGGAATGCACCGGGTTCGACTGTCTCTCTAGCAGCTCTGTAGCCCCATCCAGAGTAACGTTTCCACGTCAGGTGTTCTGTATGCTAGCAGCAACACACCGAGTTAACTCCATGATACAAACATGGGTTAATGATTAGAGGAAACTGAGTTATTTATTTAGTTAAAGTTTCAGCTATTCTGTTTACAGTTCTGTCATCAGATTATTTAATACGATTTGTTAAAACATTGTTGTTTCTTTTGATGTGAAATATTATTTATTTCATTTAACTAAAAAGCAATGTTAGTTTTGTTCACAATTTGTTTAGTTAGTTTTATTCACCTTGTTTTTTTCTCCAAAAGAACCGTTAAAAGACCGGATCGATAAGCGCTATCGATAAAAGTAGTAGTTCCGTGAAAACCTTAACGACCCATCCCCACATCGGGGTACTTTTTATACTTCAAGTACAGGAAGTTGATACTTTTACTCAAGGGAAGCATCAGAGTACTTTTTTCCACCGCTGCCGAAATGGAGCTAAACCGTGAGAATAAACACCAACTTTGTGATAAAAGCTTTCCTTATCAATAAATAAATGGACCCTTCATATCAATAACATCCTTCACATGTTTAATGCAGATCATCCTTCAGGTTTCTGTAGGCTGTGACGATATTAACTTTAACGTCTTAAATGAAAAAGGATGCTCATGAATTTAAGAAGTTTATATTATAATTGTAATTGAGTCCGGGACATAAAGTGTGCAGTTCTCTGTGTGTCCACAGGGGGGCGAGTGCAGTCTGTTTAATGTTCTTCAGTTATCTTTTATGAACAAAAGTAAAGCGCTAAATGTAATATCACTCTGCAGAATGAGTACTCTTACTTCTGATACTTTAAGTACATTTTCATACTATTCTCATTAGCTTTTGTAGATATCTTTGAACAGAGTATTTGTACTCTGGAGGATTACAGGTCATTCAGTGTTTTCCTTTACAGGTTCAAAGCTACGCCTCCTAAGGCCCTGAACACACCAAGCCGATCTCAGCCGGCGATAGATGTCTGCCCGTCGATGAGCGTCCTGTCGCCCTACTCAGATTGGTGTGTCCCGCACCGTTGTGTCTTTTCGGCCGTGCCGACACCTTCCGCTGCCGACAAAAGAAATCACTCTGATTGGCTGTTCAGCTTAGCGAATCAGTGCATGAGAAGCGAAACGGAAGTGAAGAAGGCACACACAGACGGCTATTTTCTTTCATTTTCATCTCACCAGGACGCAAGAAACCGAAGACCAACTCATCAGCACACGCACACGATATTTGTACATATCACGCAGTCTGTCTTCCGGTTGCCTCTTTTGAATGACGAATACCCACTACCGCCGCCTGCTGGTAAGGAGAGTTATTGCCACTCATGCATGCGCAGTGCGTACGTGCTTCTTGGCCGTCTTTGCGGTGTGTTCCAGTGCGACACATGGCCGAGACGCAGAGATGTGAGGCGACGCAACAGTCGGGTCCGTCGGGACGTGTTCTTTGGTGTCAGCGACCTTTATTTAGAGCGAGGGTTAAATGGAGGGAGACTAAACCCTAGAAAAAGTCCAAGATTTACGAGAAAAAAACTAGTCAACAAACATGTTATTCCTTAACAACAAATAAACACTATTACCAAGTTGTTTACTTCCAATGATGTGACCCAGAGGATTTGGATCTTCTAATGTTTGACTTCGTGACCCAGAGGATTTGGATCTTCTAATGTTTGACTTCGTGACCCAGAGGATTTGGATCTTCTAATGTTTGACTTCGTGACCCAGAGGATTTGGATCTTCTAATGTTTGACTTCGTGACCCAGAGGATTTGGATCTTCTAATGTTTGACTTCGTGACCCAGAGGATTTGGATCTTCTAATGTTTGACTTCGTGACCCAGAGGATTTGGATCTTCTAATGTTTGACTTCGTGACCCAGAGGATTTGGATCTTCTAATGTTTGACTTCGTGACCCAGAGGATTTGGATCTTCTAATGTTTGACTTCGTGACCCAGAGGATTTGGATCTTCTAATGTTTGACTTCGTGACCCAGAGGATTTGGATCTTCTAATGTTTTGACTTCGTGACCCAGAGGATTTGGATCTTCTAATGTTTGACTTCGTGACCCAGAGGATTTGGATCTTCTAATGTTTGACTTCGTGACCCAGAGGATTTGGATCTTCTAATGTTTGACTTCGTGACCCAGAGGATTTGGATCTTCTAATGTTTGACTTCGTGACCCAGAGGATTTGGATCTTCTAATGTTTGACTTCGTGACCCAGAGGATTTGGATCTTCTAATGTTTGACTTCGTGACCCAGAGGATTTGGATCTTCTAATGTTTGACTTCGTGACCCAGAGGATTTGGATCTTCTAATGTTTGACTTCGTGACCCAGAGGATTTGGATCTTTCTAATGTTTGACTTCGTGACCCAGAGGATTGGATCTTCTAATGTTTGACTTCGTGACCCAGAGGATTTGGATCTTCTAATGTTTGACTTCGTGACCCAGAGGATTTGGATCTTCTAATGTTTGACTTCGTGACCCAGAGGATTTGGATCTTCTAATGTTTGACTTCGTGACCCAGAGGATTTGGATCTTCTAATGTTTGACTTCGTGACCCAGAGGATTTGGATCTTCTAATGTTTGACTTCGTGACCCAGAGGATTTGGATCTTCTAATGTTTGACTTCGTGACCCAGAGGATTTGGATCTTCTAATGTTTGACTTCGTGACCCAGAGGATTTGGATCTTCTAATGTTTGACTTCGTGACCCAGAGGATTTGGATCTTCTAATGTTTGACTTCGTGACCCAGAGGATTTGGATCTTCTAATGTTTGACTTCGTGACCCAGAGGATTTGGATCTTCTAATGTTTGACTTTGTGACCCAGAGGATTTGGATCTTCTAATGTTTGACTTCGTGACCCAGAGGATTTGGATCTTCTAATGTTTGACTTCGTGACCCAGAGGATTTGGATCTTCTAATGTTTGACTTCGTGACCCAGAGGATTTGGATCTTCTAATGTTTGACTTCGTGACCCAGAGGATTTGGATCTTCTAATGTTTGACTTCGTGACCCAGAGCGTTTGGATCTTCTAATGTTTGACTTCGTGACCCAGAGGATTTGGATCTTCTAATGTTTGACTTCGTGACCCAGAGGATTTGGATCTTCTAATGTTTGACTTCGTGACCCAGAGGATTTGGATCTTCTAATGTTTGACTTCGTGACCCAGAGGATTTGGATCTTCTAATGTTTGACTTCGTGACCCAGAGGATTTGGATCTTCTAATGTTTGACTTCGTGACCCAGAGGATTTGGATCTTCTAATGTTTGACTTCGTGACCCAGAGGATTTGGATCTTCTAATGTTTGACTTTGTGACCCAGAGGATTTGGATCTTCTAATGTTTGACTTCGTGACCCAGAGGATTTGGATCTTCTAATGTTTGACTTCGTGACCCAGAGGATTTGGATCTTCTAATGTTTGACTTCGTGACGTGACCCAGAGGATTTGGATCTTCTAATGTTTGACTTCGTGACCCAGAGGATTTGGATCTTCTAATGTTTGACTTCGTGACCCAGAGGATTTGGATCTTCTAATGTTTGACTTCGTGACCCAGAGGATTTGGATCTTCTAATGTTTGACTTCGTGACCCAGAGGATTTGGATCTTCTAATGTTTGACTTCGTGACCCAGAGGATTTGGATCTTCTAATGTTTGACTTCGTGACCCAGAGGATTTGGATCTTCTAATGTTTGACTTCGTGACCCAGAGGATTTGGATCTTCTAATGTTTGACTTCGTGACCCAGAGGATTTGGATCTTCTAATGTTTGACTTCGTGACCCAGAGGATTTGGATCTTCTAATGTTTGACTTCGTGACCCAGAGGATTTGGATCTTCTAATGTTTGACTTCATGACCCAGAGGATTTGGATCTTCTAATGTTTGACTTCGTGACCCAGAGGATTTGGATCTTCTAATGTTTGACTTCGTGACCCAGAGGATTTGGATCTTCTAATGTTTGACTTCGTGACCCAGAGGATTTCAGTTGTTTCTCATTCATATAAAAAAGTGTTTCCCCTTGTAAATAAAAGGAGTTTATAATCTACGTTTTTCTTTGAGATGTTGATCCTAAATGTGCCCTTTAATTATCTGTGTCTCGAAACTGTTTGAATTTCTGATTGTTTGAATATTATTGAAAAGCCAGTGAAACATTAATAAAGGTAATAAACGCACCTTCTTAGTGACGCTGCAGGCGGAGGAGGAAACGGAGAGTTCAGAGAAGCCGCTGTCCAGACGCTCCTCTGCCTCCTCCCTCCTGTACTGGGGAGGAGCAGCCGGGTTGGGGGGGGAGGAGGAGGAGGCAGCCTTCCTGGTCCTGGTCCTGGTTCTGGGCTCCTGAGTCCTCATGGGTCCCTGGAAGTTGAAGGGGCTGTAAGGGTCCGAGCAGCTGAAGGAGCTCCACAGACGGAGACTTTCTGCTTCATCTGCCTCACTCGCTGAGGTGGAATCATCCCAGGAGTCACTGCCCGACGGGGGGGAGGAGGCAGCCAGGGGGGAGAGAGGGAGAGGGAGGAGAGAGGGGGAGGGGTCGGGGGAGGAGTCACTGGAGGAAGGAGGGATGTTTCTGGGAGGAGAGGTGGCCGTGTGTAGCAGAGCCGTGAAGTTTCGGGGGTCGTACGGGTCAGCGCTGCGACCCAGATATCTCCACAGACGCTCTGAGTCTTCGTCGTCCGTGGAGTCGGAGAGATCGGACGAGTCTTCGCTGTTGAAGCCGTCATCGTCTTCATCGTCTTCATCATCATCTTCCTCAGAGCTAGACCCCCCCTCGGAGCTGTTGTCGCTGCAGGGTTGTCCCATGATGAAGGCGATCGCTTTGTTCTGACAGCGGTTCCGACCCTCTTTTACCTCCGCTGATAGACCCTCCTCCTCCGCTGATAGACCCTCTTCCTCCGCTGATAGACCCTCTTCTTCTTCCTCCTCTACCCTCTCCTCAGAAGTCTCTTTAGTGGGACTACTTTCTGTGGCATCCTGCTGCTCTTCAATCGGAGCGTTCACCATGTTCACCTGGAGGAACAGATCAATAATAACGAGTCATAATATGGATAACTGATCAGTAACAGTTTCTTTCCACCAGGCTGTCAAAAACACACACACACACACACACACACACACACACACACACACACACACACACACACACACACACACACACACACACACACACACACACACACACACACACACACACACACACACACACACACACACACACACACACACACACACACACACACACACACACACACACACACACACACACACACACACACACACACACACACACACACACACACTTTTATTTATGTCTTAAATTAATGTGAGCATTTGTATACATGTGTCTGTTGATTGTGTATATATATGTATATATATATATATATATATATGTATATGCATATTTCTATACATTTTTTTGTTTTAACTGAAAGATTGACAATAAAGTTGACTTTGACTAACTAGACAAATATGTTCAGAATCCTACCTGCACATGTTCCTCCTCCAGACTGGTGTATCCATGGTCCTGCTCCGGGGTCAGAGGAGCCTCCTCACTGCAGGAGGGGGCTTCTGACCTGGGGAGACTGATGGCTGTGGACCCCCCCTCCTCCATGTTCTGGACTACATCATGTGTTTCACGGCTCTCTTTGTCAGCCGGCTTCTCTTTGTGTCTTAGTCCAGAAGCTTCTCCCAACGTGGCGCTTGTTTCGGGGGCTTTTGTTGGAGATTGTTGTGGACAAAGCCCTGCAGTGAGGACACCCTCCTCCACTTCCCAGGACGGGTCTGACAGCAGCCCTGACCCCCCCTCAGACCCCCAGAAACTGCCCCACCACGGCCCACTGCCCCTCGCTGAGTTCCCTGCAGGATCCCAGTCCTTCCCTGAAGTCGCTCTCCCTTCCTGAGAAGAATTCAACACAACATGACTGAAGAAAGTCCTGACAGAAGACAAGTACCCCATCTGACTTTGCTGGTTCATTTCATCCGTGTTCTGGATGCCAAGCTCCCGCATGGAGTCAGCGGAGAGCCACGGCAAGCTTTTACCAGGCTCCAGGTGAGAATCAGCAGGGAGCCACGGTAACGTTCTGCCGGTAGCTGCGTCACACCGAAGGTAGGTCAGCTGGGGAGGAACCGGGATCAGGTCTTCCAGCATGAACCCGGCTCCGGTGTCCGCCCGGGCCTCGTTTCTCCCCGGGAGATATTTCTGGAGGAAATACATCGCGGGCCTTGACAGCAGCCCGAGCCACGAGCTTTCCTGAGTGTGGAGCCCGGCGGGGGGGCCTCCTCGCCCGGCCATGGAGGATGCGCTCTGCCCACTGGAAACATGTCCGTCACCGCTCATACTTTTAAACATTTTAGTGCAAAATGTGTCTTTTATAATACTATTTATTCCAGTTTTTTATAGACACATTTACTTGAACACTGCCTGGGTCCTCACACACCGAATACATATCAGAATATTAGGTTTATTGTAGGTAAATACAAATAAAAACCGTGTGAGGTTTTTTTGTGATTACACCATTTTAATAACGTCTTTTTTTAAATGTGAACTACAACGCTGTCATCAGGCCAACTGCTGCACCATTTAAAAACACTGCCTTTATGGAAATCAATCACTTGACACTAAATGCATTTCTCAGTGAGTCAGTTTCTCCTTGATTTTTTTAATTAGTTGAAATTAAACTAATTTCCAGTATGAAAATCCACCTCGACCCAGACAGGGAAACCGGGAATAACGTCCGTCTCCTCGGCTCGCTGCGCGGTGCTAAAACTCATCTGACAGCGGCGGTTGTTCTTCTTTCTGGAGGAGAATTTATTGGAAACAGTGACGGGAAAAACGGCGAATAAATCCAAGAGTGAGGCCGAGAGAAGAGCCATGGTTGTCGGGTTTTAAAATCCCAGTAAAAGAGGCGACGGCGGCCGGCTGGAGATCTCCGGTGTCCGGTGTAGCTTAGCTGTTAGCTTAGCACGAGCAGCTAGTTAGCTCAGCCGTTTGTTAACCGAAGTAAGACAATATTCGATCTAAAACACAAATTGTTGGATCGTAAACAATGTAAGACTGTTTAATCTAATTCGGTTGATAATACTGTTACGGTTTCTCCCGGTTTAAAGTGTAATTTGACCCGCCTGGTAGTTCCGTGTTTCTGCCTTAGTTTGAGATTTCATCAGAAAATATTGAGGGACCGTCAACATTTTCCGGTTATCACGCACCAGCACGCAAGAGCAGCCAGGGAGCGTCGCGATGTTACTGAGGCAGCGGGGGCGCGCACGCTGTCACTCAGAAGTCCTTTAGTCCTGAAGCGAGGACATTAACAGAGTTACACCAAAAGAGACATAGCAGATAAAACGCATGCAATAATAAAGAGGCTGACATGTTAAATATAGAGAAGACGCACACATTGGGAATACAAATAAAGACAAATAAGTACTCATCCATGGCTAAAAAAGTAGTAGCAGCAATTAAAAGTGTAGGGAGACCTGGGACGGTTGTAACATGGCACATTTACAATGATGGCTCATTTGTTCGAATGATCAATATTGTTGATTGGTGTGTATTGTCCCTGTAAAAATAAACAGAATAAAATACTGTACGTAAAGTGTGTGTGTGTGTTTACAGTATGCCAAATATCAGAAAGAGGGAGACAGACAGGGGAGTGCCACTTCCTCTGGGGGCCTCAAATGAAGTGCAGGAGGGCAAATCAGTCAGGGCAGAGGCAAAGTCCCAAGATATATGCCACGTCACCCTGTGCCGGTTCCATGGAGAGTCCGGGATCCAAATCAGCCCAAAGAGCAGGCTACTTCAAATCTTGTTGCCTTAGAATTTGACAGCTTTCCCTCTTTGTTGTCATGTAGTGTGAAAAAAGGTAACTGTTATTAACATGTTACAACTGTCCCTGTTGTAACAGTTGAGTTTTGTTTTTTTAAATACATTTTCCAACCTGTACTTATTTCATAAAAACATCTTAAATACATTGTTTCAGTAGTTTACACATTGAGAATGAATAATATAGCAAAATGGCTATCCTAGTGTAAATGTTTTTTTACTTATTGGGGAAAACCGAAAAAGTGTTACAACTGTCCCTGGTCTCCCTACATATCATGACTGCAGTGCTGGCACGTGTTTATCAGCTGGGCACACACACACACACACACACACACACACACACACACACACACACACACACACACACACACACACACACACACACACACACACACACACACACACACACACACACACACACACACACACACAGCGGTCAGTGTGACTCAATGATAATTTTAGTCTTTCAAGGGAACAAGAAAGTTTTTTGTATTGTTAGGCCCTCTAATTAAACCACAACATAATATGTTCTAAATAGACAGGGACTAAACACACTACAGGAGGGGAGCACCACAGAGAGCAGAATACAGCCTCTTTAATTCAATACAACTCCTGGTATAGTTTCATTTATATATGCATAGCGTCATTTGTGCCACATGTCCACACCACTTTTTAAAAGTATAACTAATAAATGCTCTGAAAGATAGCGTGCACAAAGATCTGTAATGAACAGCAACACTGGTTTAGTTTCAAGACGTGTAATTTGGACATGTCAGTAAACTTTTAATAGGACAATGTAATAACTAACGTTGCTCCCGCTGTGCAGCAGCAGGGCGGAGGCACAGCAGATCATTCCTCCTGACTCGACTGAATCTAAAATGACCCACAAACATGTTGTCTGGTCTGTTTTTCCGGAGGTAAATGTTGCTTTCTTTTCCTGTCAGAGAACCAGAATGTGTAGTTTACGTTGCTATCACTCCCCACACACACACACACACACTCCCCCACACCCACCCACCCACCCACACACACACACACACACACACACACACACACACACACACACACACACACACACACACACACACACACACACACACACACACACACACACACACACACACACACACACACACACACACACACACACACACACACACACACACACACACACACACACACAACACACTACTATGAGTCTGTAGCCTGACTTTAAATCCTGTGTGTTGCTGCAAATAGTCAGGACGTACAAAAAAGAAGGATGGCCCGAAATTCAGTTTTATTTGTATCTGAAAAAAGTGTCCCCACCACTTTTGAAAAATGATTAAATGTTAAACGTCACTTTCCCATTCTTCTACTTGTTGCTTGTCTTTGATAGAGCCTCACAGTGAAAGCTCTGACCTTATAGGAAGCATGGAAGAACAACGGAGGCTATAGACCAGGGGTGTCAAACTCAATTTCATCACGGGCCACATTCGCATAAAGGTTAAACTCAAAGGGCCGGTTGTAACTATATAAATATATAATATATATATATAAAATAATGTATTGTATTACATTATTGCCTCTGAATTGGATTATTATCGGATAGGATAATAACTTAGTAATTAATTACGTCTGAAAGCAGAAGTCCAGGGCAAATCATTGCAAGTCTCTTCAGTGTCACAAAACGAGATGCATTGTGGAACATGTAGTTTATGGGCAACCTGCTTCTGTAAAGTGGCATGTAACCTTATGATGAACATATTATATTCTTTGCAAGCTCTTGCGGGGCCACATAAAATAAAGTTGCGGGCCGGATTTGGCCCCCGGGCCTTGAGTTTGAGACCCCTGCTATAGACACAAACAAAATGTGAGGAATAAATACAACAAACATGGCTTTTTAATTCAAGTTTATTTTGTAGTGCAAATAATACAAAACATGTTTCAGAATGAAATGAATACACATTAGTGGATAATCTAATCACATTATCATGAAGTTCAGTGTGTTCAGTACATTCTGCTCCTGTCGACTCCTTCAAATCACTGCAGCGTGTTTCCATCAGCCAATCACAGACCTGCCTTTTAATAAGAGAGGATCAGACTCACTCCACCCAATTCAGTCAAACACCTGCCTTTCTAGGAACAGCAGATCAGTATTAGGTTAATGTAGGAATAAACAAAAACCTCAAAGAAGTGTGACTTTTGAGGTTTTTTGTGAACTTTAACTGGACCTACAATGCGCTGTCATGAGGCCCGATTGCTTAGTAGTAGTAGCTGAAATAAATGTTCACTAAGAAAATCAAAACAAAATGACAATATATTTTTACACCTGGAATATGTGTTTTGAATAACGGCTGCAACCAACAATTGTTTTAATTATATTTATTTTGCTTTAGATCAATGGTTTGGTGTGCGTCCCAGTTCCTCAGAGTCCAAGGTGATGTGTTTAAATGTCCAAATATGATTTAAAGGCATTCTGGAGGAGGAATTACTTCAATGAATAAGCCCGGAGTTATTTTTTACTGTGGACGGACCAATGGGAAACACCATGATGTGATTTAAAGCCATCTGATTGGCTAATTAAAGAACTATAGGAGAGCGTCAGGGTCAAACGTCACAACGTTTTAACCTGAAATCACATTTTAAAGACCCTCCTTTAGGTCCCTTCCTCACAGCGCAGAAACACGGAGGTCGCTTCATAAATCCCAAAAGTACAAAATGACGGGAGATTTCCCCCCCCCCCAAAAAAATGAGGAATGAAATGAGCGTACGATCAGAGCTGGAAGGCAAACAGGCTCATGCACCGCAGATAGAAAATCAAAGCATCCGCACTATAAAAATATCCCGTTAGCAACACGGAGCTAAGCTAAAGCTAAAGGCTTCTCTTAACGCAGCGTAAAGGAAGTGGACTACAACTCCGCTAGCCTCCGAACGTCAATGGGAATACAATGTATGAAAGTCAGGACAAGTTTAAATCGTGAAAATCGTGAAATGTGTCATCGTCCCTTTATCTGCTGAAAGACTCCATTACCCAGCATGCACCTGTGTGTGCTGACTGAAACATACATCATTGTTATTGTTATTATATTAACTTCTCTGTTGCTTTTTGAAACGGTGCATTAGGGCCATTATTTGTGAAGCACGTCTGTAATTATTGACGTTTATCCCACTAAGTTTTTCCACTTTATTCTCAGGAAACACTCACGTTTCTTGTTAATGAATTACTTCCAATCTCAGAGACTATTCACGTGCTTTAAACTTATATCTATGCTTTTAATTGTGTATTTATATCTGACATTAACCTTTCGAGTTATTTCTTGTAAATGTAAATCTTTAGTCTCAGATTACTAATTCATTCACTTTAAATGGCCCTAACACGCCGTTATAATCTTTATTTTTCCACAGAGATGATTCCATTTTTCCCATCGAAGTGATTTATATATTTAAAGATCAGACAGAAACTAGACCTGTGTGTCTTCATTTAAATTAGTAAAAAATATTTTGTGTTAAAACTGTTCCCGTTAAATCTGAAGTTTACATAAAGTTTATCTCATTAATCTTTAAGTCACTTTGTTTGTTTGAAGTTTAAAAGGACCTGATAATAATCTAAAGAAAGCCAACACTTTTTCATCTAAAATGACCGATAAGAGTCCAGAGTCCAAAAACAAATCAAATGTAGTGAAACTATAGAGCAGCGTTTCCCAGAGGCTAAATAAAGTTCTGATTGGTCAATTCAGATCATGTGACACGTTGTTACGGCCCACGTGCAATGCCTTCGCGGCCCACTAGGGGAACCGCTGCTCTAGAGGACCGCCACAGGGCTTTTACTTTGAAAGGACTTCCAGTTTATCTCATTAATCTTTAAGTCACTTCGTTGTGCAGTTTATTTGAAGTGTAAAAAGGACCTGATAATAAAAAAAAGAAAACCAACACTTTTTAATCTAAAATGACCGATAAGAGTCCAGAAATTTCAAAACAAATCGAACATATTCAACTCCAGCGGATCCGCCCGAGGGCTTTTACTTTGAAAGGACTTCTTGTGTGTGTGTTCCTCAGTGGGCGGAGTCTGCGCCCCCCAGGGGGTGCCAGTCCACCCAGTGCCCCCCCGGCACCAGGCCCCTCAGAGGGATGAAGGCCTCTCCCAGCACCGTGCTCTCCCAGAAGGGCCCGTCGCCCAGCACCCGCAGGTGGATCACCCTCTGGTCCAGGTCCCCCCGAGGGAGACGCTCGTACACCAGCTAAAGGGACACAACAACAACAACAACAATATGAACTGTAAATCATAATAATAAGATATAACATGTGGAAACCCCCACCGCTTTAAAGGTCTCCTATCATACTATTTTTAGGCATATAATATGGGTCTCAGACATATAAAAACATACAAAACATGTCTATGAAATG